GCTCAAACCACTAGTGATAGAGGTTGATAAGGTGCACGGGAGGTGAATGTGTATGAGGGTTAAGTGGGGATAAGGAATTATGCCTAGCAAATGCCTACGTATCAAACACCACAGTAGAAAGGGAAGAGTCCTTCCTCAATCTCTTACATCCCCTCCTCACTTACATTCCACTCATTCTGGCGGGTAACTTGAACATTGTTCTCAACCTAGCAGTAAACCGAAGAAGCTAGCCCAGAGCAACAACCAAGGGGTATCGCAACCTAACATGGGTCAGGATCTGGTACTGTTTAAGCAACTATTCACATAACTTCAACTGGTAGACTCTTATAGGACCCTTCACCCATTCACCCAAGCGCTCACGTGTATTAGGTACAGGGGAGAAGAGGGGTTGTCCAACTCGAGGATTGACCTCCTCCTCATCTCCAAGGGGCTAATAGGCTCGTTGGGGGTGACAACTATTCACCCATTCAGCCCCACACGATCATTTGACCACAAAATGATATTCATTGGATTAAATTTTTTCCCAAACTTCACTTGCAGACCGAAGTTCTTCAAGCTCAACACATCTCTACTTAAACTGTCTTTTTTCCACCAATTTGTAAAGGAGTTGTGAATTTTTTGGAAAACTAAAAACAAACATCACCCCTCAACAGTCACGACAGAGTGGTCCAATCAAGGAATCGCTCAATTAAGGAAGATGACTAAAAAATTCTCAATCAAAAGGGCTAGAGAAAGGAAGTTTTGGAAGAGCTACATACACTAGAGTAATAAGATGAAAAACGAACCTCCATGCCTTTGGATGCCGACGTCTACGCCCAACTCTAGCAAGCACGAGACAAGCTGCACAAACACCTAGATGAATAAGCCGAGGTGTGAAGAATAATTTGGAGAAAGGCGGGAGAAGGTGGTTTTGCTGCAATTAACTTGATTGTAAAAAAATGTCAGACATTGTTTTTAAGATAAATGACCTGACTGCTATGTTCTGTTATATTTCCTGAATGACAAAACTTTGTTTCTAAAATTAATAACTAGGTTGCTATGTTTTTTTACGTATTTTCTTCACAGTTAAACATTATTTCTAAGATGAATAGCTCGATTGCTGATTTTTTTTTTTTTTTGACTGAATGACTTTTGAGGTTAGACAACGTTTCTAAAATGATTGGTCTGACTACTTGTTTTATTATTATTGGTTTCTGAACGGACTCGAGACATTGTTTCTAAAATGAATTACCAAAATTCCCTACTTTTCTTTGGTTCAGAAAGTGGGAGTTGTTTTTAGATGATTTACTCAACTCTTTACATGTTTTTTTTTTTTTTTAAATTACAGCAAAATATTAAGTAATGTTTCTAAGATGAATGATCTGACTATAGCTTATCACTAAAAAAAAAAAGGTATGAAACTAGGAGTATAATGAAGGTAACTTGGGCAGACAGAGCAATGTTTCTAAAATGATTATCTCAGTTCTACACCCACTTTAGAGATTAGATTTCAAATAATTATTATAATTTGATTATTAAAGACTTAAGTCAAAATTAAACAATGTTTTGAACATGATCGATTTCGTCAACTGTCAAATAACGAAAAACGTAGTTGTGTCTTTGTCGATGTATACTAGAGATAAGTTAGGCAATGTTTCTAAGATAATTGACCTAAATTTATGTTATATATAAAGTTGGGATAAAGGGTTAACCATTTGAGGGATTAACTAATTATTATGTGAAAACAACTTTAGAACTTTTGTGGAAGTACTTACCTTGCTTGTATGTGCTCTATTTGGGAGTTGATTAAGTTTGTCTTTTGATACGTAGTTACTTTGGATGCTCGCCGTGTGCTTGAGCAACATGAGTTAGTCAAATTTTGTCTTTGCAGAGTCTTTTTGTTTTTTGACTTCATATTTGACTTAGTATAAATCTTAGGAGCATAAATCTACTAAGCGAATTCATGTCAAAATGTTTGCTAATTCAGGGAGTTAGACAAAATTCAACTTTGTTAAACCAAACTTTTATTTTCAATTTCATATTTATCCTTATATAAATTATGAAAAATCATTCTTTCTAAGGGAAGTGTTGTCGAAATTTTCTTAGATTTGAGGAGTTATATTATTTTTTGTTGTGAAAATTTGGCAATCCACTCTGTCTAGAGAAGACTCGGATGCTGCCGAAACTTTCATCAATTTTTTGTGCTGACCACAAATAAGTCTAAACTTACTTTAATAGAGGTTATGGTAAGTTGGGATATAAGGTTTATCCTCCATACACTTAAGTATAACTTTGAGAATTTACCTGTGTTGTGTTTTGTGTCCTTTTATTCAGTTCGATTCAAGTCTCGACTAAGTTTAGTCTGATTCTAAAAGGATCATCATTTACTGTTATCTTTTGAAGTTTTGATAATAGGTTGGTTTACAACTTAACTCTAAAGGTCGGTTTACAAATCAATTCTAATTCATTCTCGAGACTCAACCTAAAACCTTAGTCCCTGAGGTATGTTTTGTTTCCTTGGGTTTTTACCCAGACTTACTTAAATGACCATTTAAAAATCACCGAGTGTTTTTTTTATTGGGAAGGTTAAATAAAGGTAGGGGTTTGTGTGGATAAGGCAAGGGGTGTGAGTGCAGAGAATGGTTGAAGTTGACCCGGTTTAGAGTGTGATTTGTCGATGTTGAACTTTTGTGGGACTTTCAATTTAACTTGTCTACTATCGTTTGCATATTAGAAGGAAGTCACGGTGTGATTGTGAGAGTGATCGCCTCGTGTCCAATAATTCACTATGGTTATATCATGTGTGTCTATGTGGCTCGATTTACTAAGTGCAATAGTTGAGTGGGATTGACTGAGAGAAAAAATATATTTTTCTCAAGTCTGCTGGTTAATTTTATTTTGGTGGAAATGATAGAGGCTTGGGTAGAAGAGGTAACGTGTTACTTGTAGTGGGCCAGACAACTCACCACCGCTCTTATTCCCTTTTACCCTCAGTGACATCTTACCCTGTCCCGCTTTAATGCACAACAGGGTGCAGAAGATGGTTGAGTGTTCGATCTGCTTCTGCGCTCGCTAAGGGATTGACCCCTCAACACACGCTTTAGTCGACACCTAAGCCTCGAACATGATCCCACATTGCGGAACGGGTCACATGGTCATGGGCACCACATAGTACTCCATCGTGGCAACTGCTTGCATATTCATGCATAGCTAGTTGAGATGATGAAGTCTGCGTCACCACGCTATTTTATTTAAAGTTTCGCGCACGACACCTACTTATTCACGTACCAAAGAGTTATGGGTTGGGTTGAAAAAAAGACTAGGCATGATTGGAGTAAGTGGATTAAACTTATTTTCTTTTGTAAGTATATCGCGTAGTTAGATTGACTGTCCTAGTCGACCGACAGTTCGCGTATGGGTTCGATCAAACCACCAATACCTTACCCAACTATTTTTTCATAGGCACGTCGAGTGACGCGATGGCCTGAAATGGAAGGGCGTCCGCCGAACAAAATCGGCGGCCAGTCTTAATTTTCGGGCCGGCACGCAGTGCCCACGAACAACATATGGGAAAGATACTGGTGGTTTAAGGAGCTAACCACGCGTACCTCTTTTGCTATAGCAAACGAGAAACGCCCTCGGTTGGGCCACCTCTGTGATTGCACGCGAGAAGCATTTTTGCACGTGGTTCAGTAGCTAGATAAGGATATGCCCACGGACGGGATGGTAACAACTCCCACAGGTGGAGGTAAGTTGTACCTCGTGTGACATGTTCGGGAGGGGCCCCTTGCGGGAACGATGCGCTCGACAGTGCACTGTAAGGCGTGTCCTAATTGTCGAACAAAGCAGAACTGGCCGCGAGTTGCAAAAATCTCTCTCTTATACGGCAACTTGGTCCGACTTGCATTTTACAAAAGAAAATCCGAAAAGTTGAAGAGGCAGCATAGTGATCAGCCTCCTAATCATACACGGGGCCCCTTTCAAGCCTGCCATTGACAGTGCAGAAAGTCGCTCGCATGCAAAAAGTCAACGTCGCAACATTGCCATGATTTTTGTCTTTTGTGCATGTGGTGAGTAGTGGAACGAGGCCCATACTCACACCACAAGTCTTTCTACTACGTTCTGGAGCCGGTTGCTGTCAGAGGGCCTCACCACACCACTGCTGAAACGATGAAAGGTTTCAAGAGCTGTCAGGCATTTCAAAGGTTCTACTTTCAAGAGTTTTTGGTCCTTGGCCACACAGCACTCTTGAAAGTGTCAGGCCCTTGCCACACCACTGTTGAAGCCAAAAACGTATGAGTGCATCTTCCCACAGAGAATGGCAAGATGCATCCGATACTGTCAATAGCAACGGATGCATCTTCTTGCCACTTTCCCAAAGCAGATGCAATCGTTCTTTGCCCGTTTGGACAGTGGTGTGGGGAGGCCCTCATTCTTGTGGACATGATGCACAAGAGACACAGATATGTTTTCGTTGTTTGTTGAGACGTGTGCCGGACACCTCGTGAAATTTTTTCTTTTTTTTTTCTTTTTTTCCATTGCAGAGTATCATAGAACGAGGCCGGGGACCTCACAACTCGACCGGGAGTTATTTAACCTTCTGTTTTGAAGGCTGGGGAATTGGGCAAGTTGGGCATCCGGACTGGCCAGCAGTCCCTTCTGTGTTCTTAGGCGCCCTCTGACGCGAGTGCATACAGACCCCCGCCTAAAAATGGGGTAGGTAAAGATGCGAAATTCCCTTTACCCTATCCGTCACCGGATGGAACCCTGCTTGTGGCCTAACCCCGGTGAGGTCCCACTTACCCCTATTCTTCATTTCCGATCTTCGATCAGGGAGATCGACGGCCAGGAAAATAACATCCAGGCAAGTCGGACCCTGCCCCCTCTACCTCCGCCGCGCCCAGTCATTTGGTGATGACTTGGCTCACGCCGCCCGCCCAGGCCACCGACTGCCGCTGAGCCCTTCCTCGCTCCGTTGTGTTGCACGCTACCGGTGGCTTGCAGCTGCTGCTGGAGCTTGAGCGTGTGTGGCCCGGAGGGTGCACCCCAATATCCCAGAGGCAAGCCGCGTGCTACCCAGTGTGAAGGTGAGCCTTCGCACAGGCCTCCTGTCTTTCTTTTTTCTTTTTTCTTTTTTCTGCTGTTGATTAGTTATTACTTGATTACATTATTATTGTTTTCTCCCTGTATGACAAGCAATTCACCTTTCCAACCTCCTGCCTTTCGCCCCCCCCCACGTCCTTTTGTCTATCCGCCAAGCTGAGATGCTTTTTTTTTTTTTTTTTTTTTTCGGGAAAAAGTACAGAATCCATTATCAGAGCAATCTGAGATGCTGACATGCATAAGCGGGCAAAAATAAAATAAAATTCTCTCGAGTCTAAGGACGAATGGTGTGCCGCTCATCCACAAATCCTTCAATTCTTCCTTTCTAGCCATCGCCATCCCGATCCCGGCGCTACATATCCTCGTCCGTCTAGAAGAAATGCATGTCTTAGTATCTACGACAGTACATACGATAATACCAAATGCATAACTAAAAAAAAAATAAAAAAAATCCTACGCATCATGAGACATAGTGGGACACTGGGACATAAAAAAAAAAAAAAAAGAGAGAGAGAGGAGACGAGAGCAGGGACACTACTAATTTGACATCCTGACACGTGGCAGGATGTCGCAGTAAGGAGAAAGATTTTATTGTTTTCTCAATTCCTATTTTCGGTAGCCTAAAAAAACAAAAACAAATCTATACGGGGATGCCACGTGTCTCTCGGCACTATTGATTTGGGACACGTGGCAGTATTGATTCGGAAGGCATAAAAAAAAAAAGGAAAACAAAAACAGTCAGCTGGCCATTTTGCTGACGTGGACGTGTGAGAGCAGACTCTCAGATCGCCACCTGTCAGAGACGTCAACAAGAACGCAGAGCAGCTCCATGACGTCGATCGCATGAGTCCACGTGGAACAGATCTTTCGTGGAAAGTTCTCGATGAAGCGCTCGAGTCGATGCACACCCATGCACCTGTCTCTTATACACATCTAGATGTGGATGCACACCCATGCACATCCTAAAACCACCTCTCTTTCTCCCTGATTGGTGTGGGGGGGGGGGGGGGTTGTCTTCTCCCAACAACCCCTGGGAAGAGTTGTTCGCGAAGAAGCCTTCCCAGGGGTTGTTGTGAGGCGACCCCCACCCCCTTCCCCCCACCCCCCAACCCCCCCGCCAACTTGCAAAAAAAAACCCTTCAATCCAGGAGCTGTGGGTGGGTGGGTGGCAAGAGCGACAAGGGAAAAGAGCCAGCTAGCAGTCCCCCGGGCACAGCGCGTCTCTCTGAACGAAGCAAAACGTATTGGATTGAAGTTTGACATTATCTTTTTTTTTCTTTTCTTTTTGGGAAAGTTTGACATTTTCGTTTTTCTTTTCTTTTGGGAAAGTTTGACATTATCTTGTGGTTGGTTCTTCGGGACACACATTCGTTAAAATTGGAAAAACAAAACGATTGATTAGCATGGCCCCCGCGCAAAACAAGAAAGGAAAAAAGAAAAAGAAAGAAATGTCCTCCTTCGAAGCGTGCACGAAAGACAGTGTATGGCCGAGCTAAGGAGAACAAACTCTGTGTGTGTGTGTGTGTGTGTGTGTGTGTGTGTGTGTGTGTGTGTGTGTGAGAGAGAGAGAGA